TATCCCAAAGGTCGCGGATTCGATATCCACTGTGGTCAGGCAAACTTTTCAGCTTGCCCGGTGTGGATACACACTCAGAGTAACATCACAAACATCATATTACCTGAGTACATAACACCAACACACACACACACACATGCACACACACACACACACAAAATTCCATACCTTTGCATATCAATAAAACTTAAATAACTCAAAGACAAAGTGTGCAAAAGAAAATCTTCAAAATAAATTACAATATCATTTCAAAGGTTCTTAGTTAATGAGATGTAGGTAGGTATAGAAGAATTGAGGTTAGGTGCACTTTAAGTAAACAATATACCTGCCAATACTTTTTGTTTGTGGAAACATCAAGTAAATTTATTACTGCAAAGCTTTCGATCCGTAAGCTCGGATCTTCATCAGTGCTAGTATTAATAATATTAGCATTGATGAAGATCCGTGCTTATGGATCGAAAGCTTTGCAGTAATAAATTTACGTGGTGTTTCCACAAACAAAAAGTATTATATGTTTTATCGCCATGCAAACCTGCAAAGAACTATACTATACCTGGTATTTGCCATTTCTTCTTGAGAGGAGACCGTGGTACGGTCGTACGTTGCTGTAGTAACGATGGCACGTGAGGCTGATAATTATTTCGGATCAACCAGAAAGGTGTGCTTTCCATGTCATCATCTATCGAATCATATTCTCGTCGCTTTCTCATGATATATGTGCTTCCTGGGGAAATTGTCGTCAAATCCACTTGTTCTTCTTCCAAAGGTTTGCCGAAGAGATGACTGCGTCTTCGATGAGCTGGTTTGGGTTGCGTTGCTTTGGCTTGCTTTGGAGCTGGTAAAAATACTTCTAGATTTAGTTTTTCGTTACCAGAAATTTCGGACACAATGGCGTCCACTTTTTGAATAAATTCAATTCCTTATTATCAACTGTAGAATATTAGATAAATCTAGACATTGGTCCTTATTACTTTTCAAAGAGTTTCTCTACATTCACCGCCAGAAACCACGGCTGTAAAGCCACAAAACTAAAAACTCGTAATCTTTAGTTAACTTAACGTTGAGTTTCTCTTTTAAATTTCTATTTTAATATAACTCTATTTTTACCTTTATCTTTCTGTTTATCACGGAACATGAAGTGCGCGATATTATTGGCCATCTTCGGCACGAGCTCCCTGTTCAAACACGTATAATAGGGAAGAGTTTGCGTCTCCGCTTCGTTCGCAAATGTAGAATTGATTCTGAGAGTGACACAGCTCGTAGCGAGAGTCTTTAGCGTAGTGTGAAAACACACGCTCTTAATATTCACCAAGCGTTCAAGACCAAATCTTTTTATAGATTCAGCCGCCCCAAGGCCGATTCTGGAGTCGTGATTGACAAGGTGAACGGCCCGTCGAGCTGCGTCTAAGACAGCCTGCGTCTTGCCTTTCATGAATTCCGATTTCCAAAGTATTTTTTCTTTCGCTCGCTTTTTTTCTTTGTCTGCATATACACGCCTCTGTGATGAGGATAAGAGAAAATATGCTAAATTAAGCTAAATTAAACGCAGCTATCCTGGATACTAGAAAGGTTCGGATCTGCTACCGCTACCAATCACTGGTTTAATGATGGGCCGGATTTCATCTACAGACAAAATTTTGATCCAGGTAAGAAGAACGAAATCCAACACCACAGCTAGAAAGAGCATCTTGGGGCGCTTTCCATTTAATGGCCTGACTGGTCAGACCCGAATTTTTGTCTCTGCATCAGTGGAAAGATCTGGTCTACGTTTCTCAAATATCTAGCGAAAATGGACCTCATTCTAATGTTATCTAAATTTTCCATAGGTTCGAAGCCCAAATGTCTTGTGTTCAATTCAACAATTTGACGGTTCTGACCAGTCTGGCCGTGTACGTTAATGGAAAGCGCCCTTAGAATGAGTAAAACTGCAAAGATTGGTTGCTAAATGTTGTAAAATGAGGAAATATAGCCCTGTGAAGTTCGCAAATTTTGTATATATTTGTATTACACGCGGTAAAAATAAACCACTTTCGGCTCAAAAATGGTTATCTTTTCCGCGCGTAATGCAAATATATATAAAATTTGCGAACTTCCCAGGACTATATTTTCCTCATTTTACAACAATCCGCAACCAAACTTTGCAATTTTACTCATTTAAAGATGCTCTTTCCAGCTATGGTAATGAAGTTCGTTCTTCTTATCTAGATCAAAATTTCGTCAAATCATCTATTAATATGCATCTACAATCGGATGTAGGCTATCAATTTAAACGCATATACATCCGATTTGTTAATGGTCCCTTAATGGTAGCGGAAGTGGAAGTCAAATCTGATCATGAACCTGTTTATTATGACTTAAAGTGCATATGACATGAAATTTTTTATTTTCTTAAATGAAAGAACTCTTTAAGCTGTAGTGTAACTTATTTTTCAGTTTCTTGTTTTCATGGTTTGTTCCGGAGATTTTTCAATTTGTTTGGTATGTAAATGAGTGTGAATATGTCCGCTAATTTATGACGTCATGTTGGTTGCAAGCTCAACTTACACTGGTTATAAATGTATTAACTCTAAAAGTTTGAAATTATCATCTTGGATGATAGCCGTGATATTCAACCATTTTGAACAGCTTGCAAGCAACGTGATGTCATAAATTAGCGGACATATTCACACTCATTTACATACCAAACAAATTGAAATATCTCGGGAACAAACCATAGAAACAAGAAACTGAAAAATTAGTTACACAACAGCTTAAAGAGTTCTTTCATTTAAGAAAATAAAAAAATTCATGTCATATGCACTTTAAGACCCAAAAACTTCAAGAAAATCCTTCAGTAAAATTTGATTCAAAATAACCCCACTAGATGAATTAAATAGCTAAAATTAACTCTGCTCTCCTGCACACTGCTTTGCTAATTATTACAGAGACCAACCTCTGTAGCATGTCTTCATTGAAAAATATATTTTTTTCAATCAGTAGTGTCTGCTTAATAGACGCGCTCGTTCATACATGTGAGTCATGATTTAGGAACCGTTACTATTTTTAGACTACATCACATTACATTATCATTCAACTTACTCCCCATTGGGGCTTTTCAGTGACCGATTACATCAAGTATTGCGCTAGACTTGCTCCAAGTCTCTCTTTCATTGTCATATCGATCCACTATAGTGTACATTACATGACGTAGCACGGAGAGGCGGAGCGAGACAACTTCGGAAAATCTCGGTTCAAAACTGAACCGAAAATGCAAGACTTGCTTTAATTGTTTTCCTTCAATTTCTTTCTGTATTATTTACTATAATGGAACTCATGTTATTTACACTGTGCTAGATCAATACATATAAACACTGACAGAAAACAATTAAAGCAAGTCTTGCATTTTCGGTTCAGTTTTGAACCGAGATTGACAGAAGTTGACAAGTCTCTCTTTCTCGCTCCGCCCCTCCGTACTACGTCATGTAATGTACACTATAGTGGATCGATACTATATGTCAATGAAAGAGGGACTTGGAGCAAGTCTAGTATTACGCTTATGTTACTTAGCCTAGACTATTTATCTTTACAACAATTGAGATATTACGTTCTTAACTGTGTCTATCCTAACCCACCGTTTCAACTTTCCCTGTGGGAGGAAGCCGGAGCACCCGAAGGAAACTCGCGACTTTCGGCAGAGCGTTGACTGACTCTTCTCATGAGAGTCGTTAGAAATTCAAAGTGAAAAAATTGAACCATATACTTACGGCGATCTTTTGAAGAGTTTCGGCCGCCACTTGTTTCATGATACGACAAGCGTGATTCTTCGCTTTACATATCGGACTCTTCCCGTGCCAACAACATGGTTTCCATCCGGGACATTTCACACAGTTTCCAAACACATCATGGTCACAACACTTCCGCCATGATGTACAACCGATGCAAGCTAAAAAGTAATAGGAAAAATTTAAAGACGTTTTTTAGATTACGTTTACACTAGGGCAAATGTTTCCAGATTTGTAAAAGTCTCCAGATTCCTTGTCTTTCAAGCATACGGATACCTTTTCAAATGCATTTGCTGGTTGAGAAACATAAAATAATGGCACAAAATTGTCGATTAAAATACAATAGACGATTCCCCTTATTACGTTCTCGTAGCGCTTTGCATTGTGGTTATAGTGGTATCACTGACATTCAAGATGGCTTATTTTTTGTCCTGACCCGTGCAAGAACTTTTGAAAAAAGCTAGGGTCAGGTGCGCGATAGCCAACAGCAAAATATTTGCGAAAACATTCAATATTTTCATTCGAGGCCGCTATCTTTATCAGTGATACCACTACAACCACAATGCAAAGCGCTACGAAAACGTAATAAGGGGAATCGTCCATGTCAATGATTCTTTAGGAGTGACGCTATTTACAGCAGTATAAGCAAAACTTACTCAACTTCAGACATCATTTTCTCTCTGGCGTACCATCTAAAATCTTTTCATTTTAGCATTATTTTACAATGGGTAGTCTTAATCTCAAGTGGTATATTATGCTCGTTAGTTTTAAGCGCGTGTTACGTAACATACAAAACCTCCTCTCTCAACTGCTTAAAAATATATTGGAACAATGAAATCTAGCAGAAACAAATTGTTCAAAATGAACAACAAACTGATAGCCTGGTAGCCTAACCTTGTTTGAAACATTGAGCGCCAGCGTTGATGAGTAAAATCGTCTGTCGTCAGGCAGAGTAGAATTATAGATTAAAGCCGCATTAGTATAATTACAAAGGTGATTATTGAAAATTCTCCACGCTGATTGGTTGCTGTTGACTAGGTGATTATAACGCAATAATCACTTAAACGAGTTTCAAAATGGCGGCCGTCGACCGAAGCCGTTTTGTCAATTAAATGACAAAGAAATGTGTATTTTTTATTTTTCCAAATAATCACCTATGAAATTATACTAAAACAATTACTCACTTCAGGCTCGGTGATTATTGTTATTCACCGATAATCACCTCGCATTCGGGGAATAATTGTTAATTAAGGCGCAAATGCAACTTGATGGGACTTAACCAATCTCGTTCCCCGAGCCTGCGATCCTCGGGAAGGAACGCGAAGCTCTGGGATAATCCGTTTCAGGGAGGAATCTGATTGGCCGTTGAAATGGAATGCGTAGACAGCGTAGTTCAATCTTAGCCAGAATTCCTGGCTTCCGATAGCGGATTATCCCAGAGCCTCGTGTTCCTTCCCGAGGATCGCAGGCTCGGGGAACGAGATTGGGACTTATTTAGCAACCTCGTACCCAGGCTCTTTCCACTAGTCGGTGGAAAAGTCATCGGACGAAAATTTCATTTCAACTTACTTTTTCCACATTCCTGTTCCCTGCACGTCTTGTTGTATCTTTCTTCAGCGAGGAACATTTCGCGATCATCGTTTTCAATATCATTCTCTCCCTCGTCCAGCATCAGGATACGCTTGTGCTCGTCTGCCAACGCTTCTTTGTGGAACGTCGTCGCTTGATTGTAGTTCGCGGAGGCCTGCTTCACGTAGCGTTCTGCTTGGTCAGCGGCTGCTGCCAGGAGGAGATTCACGTGTGACGTCACGTGAGGGATGATATCGGGTAGACACGCGGAAGCCTGCATTTGATGAGATAAAAACTAGCTCGGATACACACACGTAAAAACGCACAAGTTGTTACAGGTCTGCAAACAAGTTTTTACAATTCTGTCCACAAGTTGTCGACAAGTTGTGTTCGCACTGCTTGTTCCCAGTTGTTGTAACAAGTTTGGAACAAGCTGTTAAAAACTTGTAACAAGCTTGATGGCATTATCAGACTTGTTACAAGGTTGTTCTAACAAGTCTGATACAGTCATGATATAACAAGAATGTTACAAGGTTGGTGACACAAGGTTGTAACAATACTGTAATATCATGACTGTATCGGACTTGTTTGAACAACCTTGCAACAAGTCTGATAATATCAACAAGGTTGATACAAGTTGCTAACAGCTTGTTCCAAACTTGTTGACAACTTGGGACAAGCAGTTCAAACACAACTTGTTGACGGCTTGTGGGCTAATGCATAGTCCTTTTATCTAAATTTTTACAATGATCTTTTTTCAGGGAGCTCAAAACATTTTCTGGGGCTAATGGACTCGCGGTCCGATACTTTTTCGACTCCTAAACATGGCCATTAATGAGGGGTACCGACCATAGATATCTTATATACACTAGATAGTGCATCTAATTTTCTGAAATTCAAAAATTGAAGCCGTGATTGCAGTCTCAGGTCGTTCCCATAAAATGAGAAGATTCGTATGTTTTCCATATCTTAAACAGGGAACTTAAACATTAAGTTAACCGTATTCCAAATACGTTTTTAAACTATTGTTATGAAAGTTATTGTTGTTTTTAAGCGTTTATTTGCAAGTGGGAACGAGCAACATGGCCGCCATCTATTCAAATGGGGGTAACCGCTGGAATATTCTTGGCTTCGATTTTACTAAAAGAGATGCGCTATCTAGTGTATATAAGATATCTATGGTACCGACCCCATATATTTTCTAGTAATATCCAAACAGTATATTGTGGGGACTTACAAAATAAGGTCCATTTTCCGGCAAGCTGTCAGGTGACATGAACGAAACCACTGTTTTGCTGATACCAAATAGATTTCCACTCAGGGAGAACTCGGTCCCAGACTCCGACACGTCGATCTCGGTCTTGGTCCCAAGCCCCATAAAATTCGCGAAACCTTCCAACTTGAATTTCGTGGATTCTGGCGTGACCGTGAACCACGCGCGTGGGCCGAGCCGCGGCCGGTGCTTGTCAGCGTACACCGTGATGAGCCCGTCGTCTAAGATCAGCGGAAATTTTGAGTGTGACGTAGTCGCTGTGATGTGCTTCTTGTTGTCGATACGTATTTTGCAGATCAGGGTTCGGGATAATATATCCAGTTTTCCATAGAGCTCTAAATTTTCGTCCTTTTTATTCTTGGGCGTGTACCTGTCAGAAATTCGTAGAATAAAATAAACAAACCTGTTGCATTATTAACATTATTAAGCATTGTATTCACTTTGTGTCTTTTGGTTGGCCAGTAGCTCACAACTAAATATAGAAATCACTACAACACAGTTATCTGCTAGCATGTAAGAGACGGACCATTAGAAAAGTGATGGGTGGGTAGGGCAAAACCAAAAAAAAATATTCCCAGAAAAAAATTAGGAAAAAAAAACTTCCCAGGCCTAGTGCAAAAAAAAATAATTCCTAGCTTGGAAAATAAGCCTATAATTATAAATTTCACTTAAAAAAATATTTCCAGCCATCAAGTGAGAAAAAAATTTCTTCTATAGGTGTACAAAAAATATATATATTGCCTCCTAACTGAGTTATGTGTTGGTTGAGCCCTCGGTATGTAATTTGGAATTAGGATTTATTCAAATTACATCGCAGCAAAGGCTGAATTGCGTAATAGTTACAAAATATTATGTGTTAAAGTGTTGTGTATCTATTTACATTAAAAATACTAAAAATTACAGCTGGCATATTGAACATAACTTATTGAACTTTTTGCACATGGCAAAGATATATAAACGAGTTTTTAGTCCTATTAGTTTTAATAAGAGGAATATTAAAATTGTTTTCGTTTCTTAAAAAGTGGCCCGAATTATATTTTTCAGGGTAGTAAATGGCATTTTTAAAAACGCGAATAAAACAAGAAAAAACAACATCTGTACGAATGGCGTTTAGGTGAAATTTCAGTTGTGCGAAAAGCAGAATTTTTGAAATTTTAATCGGAATTCCTGTGGGCAAATGAGTTTTCTATTATTTTTAAGCTGTTATTGTGATACCTAAATCGTTTTAACTGCTTTTTTGAAGTTGTTTTGCGCGACAAAGCATTGTTTGTCGAAAGAATTATTAATTAAAATACAATGTGTAACTTGTTACAAGATTGTTCTAACAAGTCTGATACAGCCATTGATAACAAGAAAGTTACAAGTTTGACGATACAAAGTTGTAACAACATTGTTATATCACGACTGTGTCGATCGGACTTGTTGTAACAACCTTGCAACAAGTCTGATAATATCAACAACGTTGTTACAAGTTGTAAACAGCACAAACTTAACAAGCAGTGCGAACACAACTTGGTTGACGGCTTGTCGGCAGACTTGCTACAAGATGTGAGATTTTAACGTACCTTGCAACGAGGGTATCTGGAAAACGTGAATTAATTAACACTTCTGGCAAACTCGACTTGAAATTCAATGCGCTCGTAATTGTCTCCAACGTGATATTCGCCATCGTCGCTTGGAAACCAACTTCCTTCGGTTTCGACGGACTGAATGTCAAATAAGACGGAGCAAATATTCGGTACAAGCTACCATGGAGACCAAAATTTAATTCCCCTGTGACTAGAAGCTCGTCCATTGCCATACCGCTGATCAACGGTACATCGATCTGCAGGCGATCAAACGTGAGGAATTCTCCCGGGAATGGATGTTTCCATACGTCATTGCTGCTCATGCGCAGTCGGACGCCGTTCGTGTCAAAATTAACATAACCACTGAAGGTCAAGTTGTTCTTATCCAAATGCATTGCTGTCGATATACCCATGTAGCTGTAATTCCCAAGTTTGAACTTTAAGATATTATCGGTAAGTTTTAAATCTTTCGCCAAGTTGAAATCCTTGTCGACGTATCCGGCCAGCGTGTAACCACGTGACGAAACCAAACCTTGGATTCGGTACCATTTCTCCGTGCCCAACAACTGCGCGGCCGATTCGCAAAGCGTGTTCAGACTACAGACATCCGGGAGTCTAAACTGACCGACCAATGAGAGCCCTCGCATGAAGGATAGATCGTTAAAAGCTGGATTTAGGAAGAGGGACTCGGTGTTGACAGGGGACAACACTAATGTCGTGTTTCGACTGTTATCGAGTAGCCTTGGGGTCGGGAATTGGTTGAAACTGAATGCATCTATTGCGTAAGTTAGCGGGAGTTTATCAAATAAATATCCAACAGTCATTCGTCTTTTGTTTGTTAAATTATCGTGAAATACAACTGCTTCGACCTGAATGGCATCGTTCCAAGATATAGGTCTGGAATGGCCGGAAAAATGGACCAATCCGCTTCGCCCTTCTTTTACGGTCGCAAACATACGGGTATTTTCAATATTCATGTTCAGCATTCGATTGTCATCCAGAATCCGTCTGACGTCATCATCTATTTCCACGTCGACGCCAAATGATGACGCAATATCCGGTGACCAAAGTGTATGGGCCTGTCCGCTGACCAGCAATTCGTTGGCATTCGAGTCCGTATACAGCGTGATATTCACTTTCGCTTGTCCTATTTTTGTATTACCGGATCCATACAAAGCTAAAGTGGCAAATTCATCCGGGACCTGTTGTCGAAATTCTAAGTTCGCGTCATCTAAATATAACATCCCAGGTGCTATATTGAATTGACCAGTAGAATATCCCAAAACCGTGTACACCGATTTGCTCAGATCGTATCGGAGCTCCCTTAACAACACATTTCCAACATCCGGGTAACCGAGAGAGGATATTTTCGGTCTTGTGAACTCGGACAGGGTTTTAAATATTTTTGTTAAATCAACGGTTGCGCCTTTCGTCGGGAAAAAGCTGATGTCATCATTCGATATTTTCATTATAATATCGTGTGTTTCGATGTCGTTTTGTGAGTGAAACGAGATAGGGAGCGTAAGGGTTACTCCTGATGAGATATGAGAGCCGAGATCTCGTTCCAGCATTCCCTCACCAAAAACATTCAACCTCAGTTTCTTCACATCGGCTGATGAAGCTGCGAAACCAAAGCCACCGTTAGCCACCTTAAATAGAATAAATAAACTGGTTAAACTTCAGTGCAATCAGAATTATGATTTAAAACGCGCAAGTTCTTGCAGATCTGAAAACAAGTTGTAACAAGGTTGTTGTCAAGCCGATATCAGGATGTGTTCGCACTGCTTGTTCCCAGTTGTTGCGACAAGTCTGGAACAAGTTGTTATCACCTTGTTACAAGGTTGATGACGGTAACGGACTTGCTACAAGTTGTTCCAACAAGACAAGCACAGACTGTTCGTAACAAGTTGCCACGAGCTTGTTGTCATCGACTTGTGAACAACTTGTTACGTGCAGACGTTATCAGACTTGTTGGAACAACTTGTTGCGAGTCTGTTGGCCTCGTCAACTTTGTTACAAGATGATAACAACTTGTTCCAGACTTGTCAACAACTGGGAACAAACAGTGCGAACACCTATAGTATTCTACTATGTCTAATTGTCTATAATGCCAGGCAGTTTTACTTTGTCATTAATTGTGAAAGTCCTCTGCTTTAGTTCTAGCAGACAAACAAGCAAGCAAACACACAAACAAACTAACAAACAAATAAACAAAGTCGAAGCGAAGACATAACGCCCTTTGGGGAGGCAAAAAATTCAATCGTACTAATAAAAAGTACCTTCAGTAAACCCTTGTCATCCAACAATTCCTTCACATATGGGATATCTGAGATCTTGTCGTCCATTACCGAAGTCAGTACGGAGTGTGGCGAGCCATCCACGAAATCCAACAGTATTGAAAATACCGGATCTTTCTTTGGAAACTTCTCGATAAAAGTCTGGCATCGGGACGGATGGTTTCCATGACCGACTCTAACATCTCCCGACACTAAAGACACAATATTGTCGAAGTCTTGAAACACGACATACAATTCAATGTCGGAAAGCATAATTTCTTCAAATATATGCATATTTATTCCAGATTTAACGAAGGTCTCTTGTTTGGCGAACATTGAAGAATAGTCGTGTAATGCCAACGAACTTCCTTTGCCCGTTAACGTGAAATGGTCGTCGTGTTTTGAACTTTCTAAAATAACATTGATCTCTTGTTCGCCATTCACCCAAGTTCCTAGGAAATGATAAGATGATATAAGAATAGAATCTGATTCTACTGTGCGAGCGCTGAAAAGATGTTATCGCGCGAATAAATTCTAAAAGATTCCAATGATTTCAGCGATAGATGGAACATTTGCATTGAATTGAAATAAAAGATTTTGATGAGATTTTACATTAAAGAAACGATAAAGTACATAGCTTAGGTTAGCCTTATAAAATTACTTCTAAGTTACTGGGTAACCAAATAAAAAATTCTTTAAAATTTTTTATTCAATTCGAAATTTGAAATAGCAACAAAAAACGAGTTTTAGGTTCATATTGATCACTGGCTGATGCATATCCTCACTAATCCAAGATGGCGGAAGCTCATTGCTTTCAGTGAAAATATTTCTTTCAAATTCTTTCACATTTTTTCAAATAAGACAATAAAAATTTTGTTGCCATTTAAAAAAGGCTGTGTATAAAACAACATGTTTTAACTTATAGAGGTGTTTGTTATTCTTATTGGTTGGCCAGCAATATATGGAAAACTATTAACAGCGTCGGTTGAAAACCTTTATCTTATCTTTTTACCTTGAGCTTTGAATTGCCATTTCTGTCCTTTCTTTTCCTTGTCGTTATAACTGAACTCCAAATTTGCGTTGCTAATGTCTAATTTATCATGAAACAATTTCATTGGTTCCTTCATATCTGACGTCACGGTGACGTCGTTGTTCTCATGAACGTTATATGTAAAGCTGACCGTGCTCATCTCTGACAGTTTCGCAAAGCCTTCTGGGAGATTTGGTAGAATTCCTGACGGCACGAGATCGCGCAGCAAGCCTTCAACGTTGCCTTTTTTGTCTGGAAGATATAAGATACATCAATTAGATATCAGATACATCACCAGGACTTCTTTTAAAGAAATTTTATTACTGCACAAAAAAACATAAAATAGCAGCATGTCAGAGTACAGCTTGAGCTCTCTAGATTTTGTGCAGTACTACTATTTTCTTTAATATTTAACAATAGGTGATATTAATTCGTGAAAGAAGTGCATAATTTATCCCAAATTACGTTCAAAAGCACGATACGCACAAGGAAGACAATAAGTTATGTCGGTTTTCACTTATTGTTTTCTGTCTTTGTTGAACACCTACCGTCGACCTCAAACTCTTTAATGTTGTTAACAAAGACAGTGAACATTTTAAATATTTCCAACATATTTCCCGACGCTGTTGAATGCGCAATCACAACGACCAGTTGGCTATAGCTTGTTGCCTTAATTTTACCATGGATTGTAAAATAACTGGATAGGAAACTTCCTGACGTCACAGTCTAAACCTAGTCACGCGTATTGCGAATATTACCAAAGTTCTCGGCATTTTTGTTGTTTTGCTATATTTTCCACTTTAAAAGGGTGATATTGAAGCATTAACTGGTCTAATTGTGTTGAAGACATGCCTAAGCCACGACAAGGTATTCAAGGTAAATGTTTTTCGTCTTTGTTTTTGTATTTTTTTACATTTGTAGCTACGAAATTCGCGTCGCCAATTTTAACGAAATTTGCGATGCATTTTTCACTGTTTAGTGCTTGAAATATATTTGCTAAAATTGACTGGGAATACTTTCATCGTAGAATGGCGTGGTTATATTTATTTGCTCTTTGATTAAAATGTTTAGCTGTATCATTGGATTTATTGCTAAACATGCCGTTTTTGAGAATTTGGTTTGCAACTAGGTTTCAACATCCAATCACGCCATCAGCCCATTGAAAACATTAGGTCACGTAAGCTAGTTTCCTATCCATTTATTTTATTATCCATGATGTTACCTTGTGTAGTTTTATCCACATTTTGATCTGCTAAATTTTCCTGGTTTATGTTACCTCCACTAGTTTGACTGTTGAGTTCGCTAACACTTGTACCTCCAGCCTTCTCGCTACCAGAAGAACCTGCTACCAAAGTGTTTACAACATCAACCTTATTCATATTCTGTGTTCCGGTTTGGCTACTGGAAGTGTCACCTCGGACTTGTTGTGAATCACTTTTAATTTCTTCAGAAGGACTGCCATTGTCATTTTCGTTCACAGATTTTTCTGAACTCTCAATCGATTCTTTACCTTTGTCATCAATGGTACCGCTTGAGCTAACTTTTGTCTTATCCCCACTAGTTCCTTGCTTCTCTTCAGTTGTTATCCCATGAAGTCCATCATTATTTCCTTCCGCTATCCCAAGTGTTCCTTTTTCCTCCTCATTTTCATCTCCAGTTTTCATAATAAGCTGTTCTACTTTGCTTTTAATATCATCATGGCCATTGCTGTCTCTTTTGTCATCAACGTTATTCTTTTCACCCGATTTCTCATTCGGGTCATCTTTCTCCATGCCTCCCATTTCATCAGAATTCTTCGTATCTTTCACGACATCGTCGCTTTTTGGCAATGCTCCTTCTTTCAATTTCGAGTCGGAATTACCAAAATTAACGGGACTGGATTCGTCGTTATCTTTTGGCAAATCTTTTGAGCTTTCAGACATTTGTTGGCCATCATTTTGTTGTTCATTTTTGCTTGTATCTTTAACGTCGGAGCCAATATCGCTTGCTTTACCATTGTCAGGAGAGCCATTATCTTTATTTACGTTCGGAATATTTTCTGGTTTGTCTGTCGTAGACGTGCTAATGTCCGGATTCTCATCGGCGTTCGTACTTTTGTCGTTGTTTTCGTTTGTCTCCGATTTTGTTTTGTCCGTACTGTCGTTGGCGAGGTTGTCGCTTGTTGTTTGTGCTGAGTTTTTGCTGTCTTTGTTGTTGTTCTTATCAATTTCCTGTACTTCAGTTACCTTTTCAGTATTTTCACTGGCCGTATTGCCATCTGTTGTAAGTTGTGGTTTCTCATTGATTTTGTTATCCATGTTTTCTTTTGTTGTTTGTTTCGGTTTGTTAATGTCTTCGTCTTCAGTATTGTCAATTGGAGAGAGTTTTGAATCTTCATTCACTTTCTTCTCTGGCTGATCAGTTGTCGAAAGTCCTGGTTTGTCATCATCCTTGTTTTTTGTTTTGTCTTCAATTTTCTGGTTCTCGTTGTCTTCGTTTTTGACGCTTTCGGTGTTATTCGCTGATTTGGTGTCTTCAGGTTTGTCATTTATCGTTTTATCATCAGTCGGTAGTTCTGGTTTGTCCGTTTCTTTATTTTCATCGTTGTCAGATGTCTTTAACGGTCGTTGTTCTGTTTGGTTAATGCCATTGTCGTTGACGTTGTTATTGTCTTTGTTTTTGCTGCTGTCATTAGCGTCATTGTCATCGTCGTTGTTGTCGTTGTTCTTGTCATTGCTGTTGTCGTTATTGTTGTTGTTGTTATTGTTGTTATTGTTGACCTGTTTCTTGTTGCTGTCATCGATCTCTGTCGTTGGTTTAAACGCTTTAGCGTATTCGTTAGGTGAGTTGTCGTTTGTCGCTGGTTTCGCATTCTTTGTGTCTTCAGTTTTTGTGGGTTTTAACTTTTCATTATCGTCGTTTTGATCAGTTGTTGCCGGTTTCAGTGTTTTAGCGTCTTTGCTGGCCGTATTTTCATTCGTTGTCTTTGGTTCATCATTTAATCCTTTGCTATCAGTTTTGGCATCATTTTCAGCATCATTCTTCTTATCTTTGTCTTGAATATTTGTTTTCTCGTCTGAACCGGTACTTTCTACGTCCTTAGCGGCGTCTGTTTTGCTTGGGGAAACCTCATTCTGTTTAGTATCCTCATCAGTGGGAACTGGAACTTTCTGAAATATGAAGAACACAATTAGTGCATTTAAATAATTAAAATATGTATCCAATTTATGCAACACAATATAAAATTGCGGTTAATATATCCAAGAAGTAGTATGTCCAAGAAATTCCATTTGCCTTAACGCAATGCCAATCTGTCATCAAAATTTATACTGCATCAAAATTTATACTGATAAAACAAGGCATTCTTTTCTAATCCTGCTGCCAGAAAGGGATTGAATCTTGGCAACAGTACGTGAACAATTGATGCAAACTTGGGTTTAACCAATCAACTCTCCCAAAGAAATCCGTCACAACAATACAATGGCCTCATTCTTATTGAATTGAATGACATTTATTTACAGGCTAGCTATGCTTGCACGCTTCATTCATAATATTTTAACGAGAGTGCAAGAAATGAAATTTACCTTGACTTCTGGTAAATCTTTTGTGTTGCTTGTAGTTTCATCTTCATTCGGTTTTTCCACTTGGTCGCTGTTGCTTTTATCTTCTTCTTCATCCTTATTTTCCTTACTTTTCTTCTTGTCGCTCTCCTCTTTATCATTTAAACCATCTCCAGCACGATTTTCAGTTTTTTTGCTTTCAGCGTTGTCATCCTCTTCGCTGTCCTTATCTTCCATTTCATCGCCTTCATTGCCGCTTGCTGTTTTGCTGGTGTGACTTAAGTTGTGTTGGATTTTTGATTTCCCCACCGTCTTGTCATCATTACCGACAACATCGTCACCCATACCGTCTTCTTCACCATGCTGTAAAATGTATAATTAACAATTATTGAATGATGTTGAGCACGACATGATGAATTATCAAGCCCGAAGTTTGCCGTTATCAACCGAAGCCGAAGGCTGAGGTTGATAACGGCAAACTGAGGGCTTGATAATTCTTCATATTGTGCGAAAACCGAATTCAATAATTGTTTTATTATTTATTTAAAAAATTTAAAACAAACATTTGTGTTTTATTTGTATTAAGAAAAAAACAATTCCTTAGTCCTTCGGCAGCCGTCGTTGCGTCATGTCAATGGCGTCAGCGAGTCAATATGATTCTCGTCGTCATAGTAATATGGCGCAAACGCGTCCAAATTTTTTTCATATTGACTCTTCGACGTCATTTTGCTAATATGAATGTGAAAAATCTGTATTTGATTAGCCATTGAGGTGATATGACAATTTCACAGTTGGCTGTTAGCCAATCAGAAACCAGGAATTTTTTAAATAGATAATAATACCTATTATTGAGTTAAGCTTTCTTGATTTATTGATTTATTGGCAATAAAAATTAAGTTTGTCTCATTTGATAGAACTCTAAAAATTATGTGTAAAACTCCTTTACGTAATATTTCAATTCCGACTATGAGGACTAGACTAGATTTCAAGTCCACTCAATTTGATCTAAATGACTGAATTAAAATGCGAGGACTTGAAATCTAGTCCAGTACGAATTGGAGGATTTGGATTGATATCTCACACGAATAAATCACCACTTAATCACCATTTTGATCCAATCCTAAGACTGGATCAATATACTTTACAAGGTATCCAGTATTATCATGTGAGCAAAATAAAGCAATACGGTTGGCTAATTTACTCATGGATTATTAATGATTTGAGATCGATTTTTCATGTCATGCTTAGTTCTTGAATATTTTGCCTGAAAACAATCAGATATCCTACACCTTGGAGGTTTTTATCTCATACCGGTATTGCTGACGTTAAATGTCCAAAACGTTGGAAATATATATTGGACCTCTCACTGATTTATGATGATTTTGGAGAATGCTCAAAACTAGGAAATGCAAAGAGGACTTCGACTTCCACATGTGAGATGCTATACACTGTCCTTCTTGACTGGAAAATATTGCTATATGCTTCTGGCTAAACTAGTAAGAACTTGCAGTAAAACTTAGAGTAAAGCCCACGTAGAGAAGAGCAAATTACCCTTGCTCGTGTGTAGGGCAAAACATTGACAATTTTTTCTCCCAAGGAGCCTTGTTCCAAAGCTATAGTCATGCCAGTTTTTGGACAAGGAAAATTTGTTCGTGTGTACGGCCGCCAAGGAAAACTTAACAAAAGTACAAGAATACTTCTATGGTTTTGGTAAACAAAAGGAAATCTTGACGTGAGATAAATGTTTAACAACATTCCCTGTACACTAAAAACAAAACATGTCAAGGGAAACTTGTTGAGAATGTAAACTTGTCAAGGGAAAGTTGTCAAGGGAAGCTTGTTGACCGTTCATACACGCGTAAAAATTGAGAAAATCAACAACTTGTTCCAGGTTGATATCAACAGGCGTGAACAAGGTTGTGCGGCCCACATTGAACATTGTTACAGCATTGTTCAACTGTAACAACTTGGAACAACATGGTTGACAACTTGTTCATAGTTGGCCGCACAACATTGTTCACGCTTGTCGATATCAACTTGGAACAACCTGTGCGTTTTTAGCCGTGTACGAGAAGGTAAACTTGTCAAGGAAAATTGCCAGGGACGCCTTGCTTGTCTGTACGGGGCTTAAAATCTTACATGTGATGTGTCAGCGGTCTCCATCATCTCTTTATCCTCATCAGAACTCGATGACGTATCATCTGACATTGCGTCATCACCATCAACACCATCAGCCTTCTTTGTATTAAACTTCATGTAAGGTGAATCGCTCACGCCATCTAATTCTTCTAGAAGATCCGGAATTTCCACTGAATTTGTAATTGCCGCTAGCAATACAAGTAACAGAAATCCTTTCCTAGCCAAAGTCTTCATCCTTGATATGAAAACTATACAACTACAAAAAATACGGTTTTATAATATAAGAGAATCTTTTGTATCACGTATATATAACATGCACACCCTCAAAACATCTAATGACTACACTTTTCTACTTGGTTTTGACTATATTCAATTTTTTAAATCATTGATATATACGTTTCTCAACTGAGCGGCAAACAAACTTTAAATTTAAGTTCAAAAGTGTGTTTAGTGCTTTATCTCCAAAATAATTCTAAAATGAAGAGATTTTAGATGGTACGCCGCCAAAGAGAAAACGATGTCTTAAGTTCAAGTAACAAGTTTTATAAATATGGCGTCAATTTTACAGCATCAATAATCATTGCATTTAAATTGACAATATGTAACTATGGTATTATTTTCTGTTTCTCAAACACTAGATACATTTAGAAGGTTGCTAACTGTGTAAACTACAAAATAAAGCTAAAACAAAGTTATTTTGAGAGTAGTCAAAGTCAGGAGTTAGATTTTGAACACTCGTGTTCATACGAAAAACCAGCCAGCCCGGCTAGAATGCTAGATGAGATCTCAGACAAATGGGACTAACTATGATTTTCCATATATGAGGGCTTTATCCCACTTATTAAATTTGCATTGTATTTGCACAACGCACGTGAAGTGTTTGTCTATTTCGTAACGATTCAACTGAATAGCAAGGCCAGTGTAATTAAAACCTGGTTTCCATATGGTCGTAACGGTCGTAAAGATTGAGTCACGATCTTTCTCATCAGCCGAAATACAACATTTTAGAACTGAAAACACGCGGAGTGATTATAACTAGAGAATACTTATGATTTATATGTGGTTTACAGGTATAAACTATTATAAACTGGCCGTTGAGAAAGATCGTGACTCTATTTTTACGACCGTTCACGACCTGCATGACTTAACCATGGGAGACGCTATCCGCTGTGACAACGGTTATTAATCATCTTGTGCAAATAATTATAACGATTCATGGCAATAATTATTAGCTACGTCAAAAGTCCATAGCAAAGTTTTCAATATAATTGCATTTAAAATGGTCATAATATTATTATCGGAGCATTGCAATTGTCAATTTCAATACAATTATCATTGATGCTGTAAAATTGACGCTATATTTATACAGCAATACTAGCAAAACTTACAGAACTCCAGACATCATTTTCTCTTTGGCGCACCATCCAAAATCTCTTTGTTTTAGCATTATTTTACAGATAAAACACTAAACATACTTTTTAAGTTTGTTTGCCGCTTGAGAAACGTGTCAGAAATTAAAAAATTTGAATATAGTCATAATCAAGTGGAAAAGTATGTCTATACCAGATGATCTTGATACGCGGAAAAGTACTGGCACTAGTTGTCAAATAGAAATCCATTTTATGATTAAAACAACTGAATATCTCCTGGAATATACTTTATTTCGATTCCATATTTTTGTCAGAGCTATAGTTCTCATAACCAAACATAATTACACAATTTCAACTAGTTTCATAAAGAATAACGAAAGATATAATTGACTGAATACATCAAAATGGATTTCTATTCGGACAACCCTTTCTGAGCGCTGATTGGCTAAAATTACTCGTTAAGGGGAAAGCACTGTCGCTCAACGGATTAACATGTCGATAAACTTATCATGCGGTCTGAAGGCAATGTCGTATTTCAACTCAATTTTGGAAACAATTGCCAAATGGACATTGTATATGTTATAGTATTCGGAGTTGAGTTGAGATGAGACTTGGTTGATGAGAGTTGCACTATTCTCGCTCGTTTTTCACCGCCAAATGTCATCAGCTTTGAGCTGGTTCAAATTTTGGCGAGAGTTCACATTGTTTGTAGTGTTTTATCGAATATCGGCCACTTAAATGGTGCAAGTATATTACTATATGAAATTGATATAGACTAATTGGCGTTGCAACAATTTTTAAGTTAGTTTAAGAATATACGGCTCTGATTTAATTGCTCCTTGTAGGATTTTAACGAATTACACAGACTTTGAAATGTTTTTATCGGCTATAGCTAATTAAAGACACTGCAAAACTCAACAATAAACTTGTCAGGCGCTATATATATAGAATAAATATACTACTTGCAAACCACTATACGAAACTGATAAAGTCATAAAACAGTCGCGAATCTGAAAAATAAATCACTTACTTGTAAGTTTGATAGAAACTTTAAAATCCTCTTGCATATAAGTCTTTTACATGTCTCCTTTCTTTAAATTTGCTCTCGATACTAGCTTAAATTTTCAGTCTATCATATAACTGGTTGTTTTTTATATGGATTGAAAAGGTCTCTTTGTTTCGCGCGCTTCGATACCTGTTGTTTTGGCAGCGAAGACAATCGAGATATATAGACTCATTCAGGTTTTGCTGCAGGTCTGAAGCAGCGAGTTTATAAACTATTATATTTTGTTAACTTATTAAGTACCGGCGAATCTTAATTATAAATACTATAGCTTTAAAGTTCTTTCAAACGACTTTTATGGTCAGAACCGAAACATTATCGTGACACAATTCATCTCCCAGTCAGCCGACTCATATATATATGAACAGCCCTTTTGCGATCGATTATACATGGAGTGACCTAGCTGGCCCGGTTAGAGCGAGTTGACTTTTCAATGAATTATATTACATATAATGGGAATTATATGGATCTTTATTGGAAATTAAATGGATTTTGACCGGCTATTCATATAATAATTGTATATTTGCCTACTATGGATATAGTATCGCAATTGTATGGATATACTGTGGATTTAGTGGTGCAATTACAAATCTAATACTTAATAGTATGGATTTCACATTTTTTCCCAGTGACTGCAACATTAATATATATTGCACCACTGCCAAAATTTTAAGCCAAACAATTGCCATGACTTGCACGCTTTTTAGCAAATTATATTTGTAAATTATGAATTGTAAATTAGGCCATACAAAATAAATTCCTTGATTCTCATCACCGCCCGACGATATTTTGGTTTCCGCGTTGATATATTTTTGTATTTTGTTATAAAATATAAATTTATCGCCCGACCGAACATCTTCAAAGATTTAGTTATTTTTATATTTTATATTGGAATTTTTGCGATATAAAATTGTTTTATCGTTAATATTGCAACATATTAAGGGATGCTTGGAATACTGAAGGAAAAAATGGGCTTATAGCCTTATTACAACGATTTGTGTGGACTTTTATGCATGTTCATTAGCGCATGTGCAATTATCCACTTATATAGCGTTCTTCTATAATATATTTAAGGGCAAATATATATCCAATTTTTTAAATTTTAAACTTTTTTTTATAAACCTCCCGCCTCCTGGGAGTTTTTAAAATTTAGCGATGAGAATCAAGGAATTTATTTTATATGGCCTTATTTAGCAAATTATATTTAGTAAATTTGCTCAAAATTTTGAGTCACGATAGTTGAAAAAATCGTTGCTATATACTGCATAGAGATTATAAATAACACTAGAGGGGGGATCGAGGGTGAAATTTGGGAGTGCGGTAATGGGGGCAAATTGAAATCTCGGATGAACACCACACAATTCTTGGGTTACACTTGAAACCAGAAAAATTTAAAACAAAGAGTCACAAAACTGGATGTTTTATATGTTTTGCATGTCATTACTACAAACATTTCCCCAAAAATGTTGAATTCAAACGATTAATTTCTCTTGAAAAGATCAAAATTGCTGACATCAGCATTATTTTGGAGCGCTCACAAAAATGTATTATAGACAAAATTGAGGTAAAAATGCTGGATAAAAATCAAAACGGGACTACTTAACTGCCACAAACAAGAATTTAGAGATTTTGGGTCAAACTCGCTCTTATTTTAGCATTCTAATTTTTTGCACCTCCCCCCCCCCCCCA